CAATTAGAAGATGCATTAGAACTGAAAAAAAGATCATAGGAATAAGTTATCTAATATTTGAAATCTTAAAAATCATTTTAAATATTTTATAAATAAATATTTGTAAAAAATAAGGCTAAAACTTTAATAGAAGATTTATAAACAGAAACTTATGATTATAAATACTAATCTGATTAGGATTTTTATTAACTTTAATCATTACCTAAACCAAATATTGTAAAAAATATTAAATCATATATAGATTCTGGATTAAAGTTAGAATGAACCAGATGATGATTAATAAAGTATAAGTGAATAATCAACCAAAGAATAAGATAAAGATAAAATAGAATAATTATAATTTATTAAATCAAAGTTAAAAATAGAAATTAATGAAATATTAATTGCATCATTTGCATGTGCATTATCAGAGAAAATCTAATTACAAGGAAGATTGTATATAACAAATAAAAGATTGTTTTTTCATTCAAGTTTCAATTCAAATAATTTATTTTTTGGTGATACAATATTGAATATTCCTAGATAAGATATCTTATCTATATAAAAAAGAACAAATGCATATATATTTGACAATTCTATTTCAATATATACACCAAAAGGTTAATTATTTTTTGCTACTTTCTTTTAAAGAGATATAGCTTATGATTTAATAATAAAGACTTTTTCTCCAAAAGAATAGCCTGAATTAATGGCATCATTAACTAATCAAGCTCCTATTAATTCAATTAAGATTATAAATGTACAATATACTTAAGAATAATTAAAGTATATAATATATACAATAATAGATAATTAGAAGATAGAAAATAAAGAATATTAAATTTAATGGGTCCAGATCCTGAAATATTTATTTCTGAGACTATATTTGAATTTCCTGAAATAAATGTTAAATTATTTTATAGATTAATATTTGGAGATAAGATGCCTGGATAAAATTTGACATTTTATGAGAAAATGAAAAAAGGTCCATTGGGATGTGATGGTTTAAATTTGACTTAATGGGTTCCAATTCCTCCAATTGATTTTGATTCCGATTATGGTACTCAAAATTTATTGGATGGTCCTGATTTTCATGAAAGAGTATTTACTTGTATTTAGCCATTACCAAAATCTTCAATTCCATTTATGCCCACAAAATGTGATTGTAAAGAATAATAAAAGATTTATTTTGTGGATTAGGATTTATGTATTTTAGATTTGATAGTAAAAACATATAAAGTATAAATTTATAATAATAAATAAAAGGTACCTTATGCTGAATCATTTCAAGTTCATGTTAGATATAAATGTGTATAAACAGAGAAAGGTATTAAATTTGATTGTAGAATTCGTAATGAATTTTTAAAATCAATTTTGGTTAAAAAAGGTTTATTATAATTTTATAATTTTTAGTAATTGAAAAAGCAAGTCAAGATGAAATATAAGAAAAAACTAATTAAAAAATATTTCCTACAATTAGATAAGAATTAAGTAATTATTTAAAAGGATCAAATAATAATGATAATTGTGAAGATAAGAGTGATACAAATGATAAAAAGGTAGAATAATAAAAAAGTAAAATAAAATAAAAGTTGAAATCTATAATTCCATTTTTAAATGGTACAATAATAACTTGTCTAATCCTTATTATCATTTATTACTTATATACAAAAGTATTGAGTAAGTTGACTATCAAAATAGAGTTTGATAAATGATCAAATATATCAATGACAATAAATATATATTTTATTTCTTAACTGATAATTTAAATGAACTCAAAACAATAACATATGACAGTATGTCCAGCACTACTGAAAGGTGATGAATAGCCAGATGACTTTCCTCTTCGAACACAAAATACTAATTTACCCAAACTTCCAATTTAGAAAAAGATCATGGTTTAACCAAATAATGAAATCTTATATGAGAGATTGAATTAAGAAGCAGAAATTTTTAAATAGAATAATTAAATGTTGAAAGATTATTACGATTAAGAAGAATTGCGTCCTTGTTCATTTGCTCCTTAAACCTTAAATGACGGTTAAGAAAAAAGATCACTTTATTAATTTTTATTTGATTAACAGAATCATGTTCTTAAAATAGAATAAAAATTAGAGTAAATCAAATTAAATGAAATGGAAAGAGATTAATAACATTCTTATCATCCAAAAACTAATGAATTTCATTTTTAATCAAGAGATGATTCAATACCTACATATGAAAGACTATACAATTTAAATTAAAAAAAACCAAATGAACCAAAAATGTAACAATCAGAATCAACTGTTGATTTTAAACCAGTTATTTAATAGAAATCATCAAATATAGTAAGAAATTAAAAAGTTGAAGATATCCTATATTAAGATGCTTAAAGAAGACAATAAAAATAGAAAGAAGTATAAGATAAAAAGAATGCTCCAAAAGTTGTAACAGTAAATGTTAAATATACTTCAAATAATAGTGAAAAGATAGTAGCATAAAAGTTTATAAGGGAATTTGAAATTGTTATTGATTGGATATTTGATCAAACAGGATAAGAAAGACCATCTAATGTCTCTTTTTCAATTGATTATTTGAAATTAGGTGAAATACTTTAAAGATTAGATTTCCTTAATTAATTGTAAGCTAAAGATAACAATGAAAGAGCTGTGGAATATGAAAATTTAAGATTATCAGAGGAAAGAGCATTATTGTGTGAAATATGGACAGTATTAAGAGGTGATGAATTAGGAGGGATTAGTAAAAGAAATCTTTGTTTGTTTTTATTGACTTTAATTGGAATTACAGATTTCAAAATAAAAGAATTACCATCAGCTTAGAATGAGGAATTACCAAATTATTAAAAATCCATTTAACCTCAATAACATAAAATTGTTACAGCACATCAACCTAATGATAAACCTAAATTAGGAACTATAGACAAAGATGGAAATATAATATTTACATTTGAAGAAACAAAGAAAATATAAAAATAATTTGATATTTTATATAGAAATAGATTAGGTTGTGAAGAATTGAAAAAATCAAATTGGAAAGATGAAAATCCTTATAAACCATAAATATTGGCTTAATCAAAATAATTAGCTAATTAATATAGAGAAAAATTATTAGAAGAAACTGCTAATTTAATTGATAATTAATTGATTAAAGTCAATATTCCTGAAAATGGTTAGATTACTCATGCTGATCTATTAGTTTTATAAAAGAAAGCAGTGGATTATCATAAAGAACAAAAAAAACAAGAAATATTATAATAATAATTAGATTAATGTCCATTTAAACCATAATTACTAAATAATTAAAATAATGAGGAGAGAAAGAGTTGTTCTAAAAAATAAGATAAATATTTATAATTATATTCATTGGCAAAACCAGCTACTTAGAAAAGAGATAGAACAACTGAAGAAATTGAATATGAAAAATAATTAGAAGAATGTACATTTTAACCAGGTTTATAAACTAAGACTAGCTAATAATAATAATAAAAATAAGATAATCATTATGTAAATAAAGATGTTGATAAAACTGTTTAAAGAATGAAATAAGCAAGATAAAGAAGAGAGGAAGTATAAGGAATGTTAGAGAGAGGATATAAAAGTAATAAAGGAACTTAAAATTAATAATAATAAGTTTAATCTATTTAATAAAAAAAGGATAGTAGAAGTGAATCATAAAATTAAATTAAATAAACATCTTAATCATCTAGATAAAAGAGTATGTAATCATAGGATTCTTAATAAATGAATACTTTTCAATCTTAAAATTTCCATATGGATGAATCATAACCAAAAGAAGAATAGAGTATTGTTAGAACTGGTAGCTGTAATATATAAAATATAAATTAATAGAATAAGATGAAAGAATACCATTATTATTTGTAGATGTGAATTTGGGACCAAGTAAAACTGAAAGAATAGTAGTTTATGAAGGAGATTAATCATCTGATTTAGCAGCTCGATTTGCTAATGAACATAGTAATAATAATTATATTATTAGATTTGGATGAATTTATGTAAGAAAAATTAAAGGAATTGCTTGATTATTAAATAAGTGGATTATTGACAAAAATAGATGAAGAAGAAGGAGCATTAAGTGAAAATGATTAATGATTTATATATATATATATATACTAATCATGATTAAATCTTCATTAAAAACTATCTGATTGGTGATATGATATGTAAATCAATTAAAAAAGAGTTGTGTGTCATTCCTTCAAATAATTATAAATGAACAAATCCACTACATTTACTCATCAATTAAATTGAATGTTAATAAGATATAAATTTGTCATTGATACCATGAATAAATAATGTAGGAGAATGCACTTTATGCATTTTTTCAAGATTTCTGAATCGTTCTTTAACTAATTTTGATACCCAATTAAAACTATTTTCTTTAATAACATCACAAAGAGATGTAAATGGACTCAATAAAACAAGTGCTCTGATTCTTTTATATCTAATACTCATTTCAACAGCAATGCTGGTTCCTATAGATCTACCCATAATAATGATTTTAGATTCATGAACTTTGAGGTTATTGATGAGATGATCAATTAATTGATATGCATCTTTAATTATAGTATCACTAGACGATTAACCATGATAAATTCCATAACCTGGATATTCCATACAGATGGAGGCCATCTTAATAGTATTATTTTGATACTTCCAATTCTGCAGCAAGTAGGAATGCAAGAGATTTGCACATTCCTATATCTTCGGCATTGGCATGAAAATAGACAATAATACCATTTCTAAGATTCTCTTCTAGTTATAAGAGAGTAACTATTCTTTTGGTCTATCTATTTTAACTCAATTATCTTGATGATTCAGATTAATTGAGTGTTACTTTGATAGTACCATCATAAGTTTTGAGTTCATTTTATTGAATAAGGGAACGACTACGATGATATTAAATTTCTTCTTCAATGTAATATAGACCAGAGAGAGTGTAATCGTAACTAGGTTTGGGAGAGGGAAATATTAAATCGTTAAAATCCATAATAAATATTAATTATGAATCAAAGACCGATTAGACCTTCGAGTGCTTAATAGAATGTATCTCATATGAGTGATAAGAATGCCTCCTTTTTAAAGAAGTAATAAAGTTAGATTATGAGTAGTCCATATAAGTAAGTGAATCAATAGAACGTTTCATAATATAGAGTGAAGGAGAGTGAGAAATTGATAGAAGATAACTAATAATTGAAGGTATAGCTCAATTAATTCAAAGATGAAAATATTAAATTAAGAACACGCAACACAAACTTAGAAGTATTATTGCCATGAATCATTTAGAAAGACCTTCAAAAATGTTAAAAGATAATTGAAGAAGTAGAAGCAACTGGTAACATGAAAAGATTTTATGCAAAACCAAGCACTGATAATTAAATGATATTGAGTTTAAAAAGCTAAGTAAAAGAATTGAGGCAAATGTTAGATCAAAGAGAATAAGATATGCTATAGCTTAAAAAATCTGTTAAATATACTAGACTCACTGAAATGGAAATAGAACGCAAACACTTTTAGGATGAAACCTTAAGGATGAAATAAATTATAGAAGAATTAATTCAATAAAATCTCTATGCTCAATAAAAAGAGAAGGATTAATAAAAATTATAGGAAATGGTATAATAAAGGGATAATCTTATTAAGTAGATGCAAGAAGACATAGAATAATTAGAAATTTAAAATAAGAATTTAGAATCTTAATAGTAGTAACTTATAATAGGATTTTAAGATTTGGACAAAGAATATGTTAAATTAGATTAGAGTATGTAAGCTAAATTAAAATCGAAAGATAAGATAATAAATGAACTTAAAAATAATTTAAAAAGGATATAAGATTAAATTGAAAAAGAAAAAAAAATAACTTAGCATTCAAAAGGTAATTCTGCATTATAAACACATAATAAATAATAAAAACGTATATAAAGTGCAAAACCTTCTCTATAAATTACGAAACCAGTTTAATAAGAAGAAATTCAAGATCTCATTTAAGAAATTAAATATAAACTAATTGCTCTTTAGAAAAGCTCACATCAAATAGACAATCTTTTATTTAGTGAAACCTCATAATAAACTACTATTTCATAATTAACAGAAAAATTAATTAATGATCCCTTTTTCTTAGAAAGGATGGATGCTTAAAATTTGGCAAGATTCTTGATTGAATCACCTCAATAGAAATATCCCTATACATCAAATATGTAGATTTCTTAAGATAATGGATTGATTCGAGGATTATTCTTTAAAACTATAGGTTATTGGGCTTGTTATGATTAAGTTGAAACTAAAGTAATAGAATCAAGTTTAGCAAAAGTATTCTCTGGAACTTATTCTCAATTTTAAAAATAAATGAATAAGAAAACTTACACAAAAAATGAATTTATTAATTAGATATCAAAAATATTATAAGGCAAAACTATTAGAGAATTAGAATTGACTTATCTTATTTCTAAAGTAAAATATGATATCTTTATTAGATTATTTTACAATCTAAACATCTCAACACTTTAAAAGGAGACTATTTTATTGAATATTTAAAGTAATTACAATAGGTGAAAGCAGAAGATGATATAACAGTAGAAGATTTATAATAATACTATGATAATAAAGAGTAATATTTTAAATTAATTTAAAGTGCTGAAAAAGGATTCTTCTATTATAAACAATAAAGAAGTAAATAAGAGTAGATGATTGCTCTTTTAGAAACTAAAGAAGAAAAAATAGCTGATTATGATGCACTTAATGATGGGACTCCTTAAAAATCAGTTCAATAATATTTGATTAAGGGTGGACTTGTAAGAAGTCATTCAGATCCAGATCCCTTATAAATGAAAATGATTGAGTAAGAAGATGAAGGTGAAGAGTAAGAAAATTATGATGAATAAAAATAATATGAACAATAATATGATCAATATAATGAGACTGAATATGAGAATGATTTTTAACCTGATTTAAATGATGCTTAGATTGAAGATGATTAAGAAATATAAGTAGAAGATGATGATGAATATAATATAAATGTAGATGGAGTATTTGAAGAAGATAATGATGATGAAAATGATTAATGGGAAAAGGTAGAAAATCATAAAGGTAATTTCCCAGTTAGATAAGAGTATTTAAATTAATTTAATAATTATTAGTCGATAAATACCTAATAGTCGTCCTACTTCTAGCTATATTAATAAAGTAAATAGGAGTAATAGCGATATTAAAGCTAGTCTATAATCAGAATTACATCCCACTAAAGAAGTTAATGAAGAAGGTATTAAATGTAAATTTTAAATTCTGTAGAATATCAAGAAGATCAATTTGAAGATGAAAATTGATATATCAAATTTATATAAATTATATTATGAAACGAACAAAAGAAACATTTTTTAGAGAACATCCAGATTGGTAATATAGATAAGGAGTAAGTGGTCTAAAGGAATTTGATGGTGAAGATTTATGTAATAATTATATTATTATCTTAAGAATATGATTCTCGCAATAAATATAATAAAGAATAACAAAAATAATGGATTCTAGATTAGATAGAAGAAAAGAAAAGAAGATAAGATTAAGAAAAAGCAGAAGAATAAGCATATGCTCAATAAACATTAGAGATAAATAGATTTCGAGGAATGTTACAAGACAACTTTGCTTCAAGAAAAACTGATATGGGAGTTGCCACTAAATAAACTAATCTATAATTGGTAATTGTTTATAAATAAATATAAATATATAGGCTAAAGAGAAAAAGGATAAAGAGGAAAGAGAGAAGTAAGAGAAATTGGCAGCAGAACGAGCAGAGAGAGATTTATTACTATAAAGGGGTCGTAAATAGCCATATAATGGATGATTATTATTAATATATCAAATGATTGATCTTTGAAGGGAATTTAAGTATTCTAGGTCATCTCCAATAATTTCCATAATTTCCTAAGCACTTTAATTTGGGAACAAATCTCTCAATGTTTCAGCTACTTCTGGTCTAATTGCCAATAATTCACACAATTCAATAATAATAGGATTAGTGGATCTATTTAAATTAGTTCCTTATTATTATTATTATTATTATTATTATGATTATTATTATTATTCTTATTAAATTGATGAAATATCTGATTGGAATGGGATAGATGTATAATCTTGAACATGCATTGATTAAAGCATTTAATAGATTTAGCTTCTTAAGATATTTCCTTATGGTAAATCTGGTTTATCACCCTAATTATTTAAATATTTAAATACAATAGCTGTTACGATAATTGAAGGAGCTTATTCTGGTTTTCTAATCTTTAACATAGCATGTTCATGGGTTCCTAGATCTTCACATTTCTCACATAAATCAAAGTCTTTGCATACAGCACACTATATTATAATTTGAATAAATTACTTTATATCTAGTACCTACAATAGGGAACATTTCACATCCATCACAAGCTACTTTCTCATGGACTACTTATTTAACTTCTTTGACTTCATTAACGCTTGTATTTTGAATTGATAATGTTTCTATTTTTTTTTAAATATCATCAGTTGCCATTGATAGTTTGACTTGTTTAGTAATTTCAGGAATTAGTTCCATGACTCTTTGGTTCACAATTTATTTAATATGTTCTTTTCTATTTTCTCTTCTATGACATACTTATTCCTTCTTAAATCCACCTTATTAAACTTCTTGTACATATCTTGAATAAATGAATAAATATTTACAATGTAACAACTTAATCATTGAATTAACATTCCCTTATAGTTTATAAGTCAGCATCACATGTGACATCAATCATATCTCCATCAAAGTCTTCATATTGAAGTGTGAATAAATTTGGGAGATTACTTATTCTATATGGAAGTCTTTTTACTATTTTCTTAATGGATAGTTCAGCCAGAGGTCTTCTGAATGTCCATGATTATTCATTGCATTTAACTTATAGCTACATTTTAGGTATTATAAAATATTATTGTTTTATAATTAAATACTGGTGTGACTTATATAAATACAAATCAAATTAAAACTTTATTAATAATAATTATTTATATTTAATATCTATTGGGAATGTATCAGTACGTGATAATTTTATTTTTACTAATTAAAATTGCTATTAAAATAATAAAATAACTTACATTTACAAAATATAATCTAATACCTTTCTTATCATTAAGATCATTATAGAAAACTATCAATTCATTTTTATTCTTTTCTACATCCAAAACTTTAAATTTATTTATATTTTTCAGATTCTTTAAATCAATTCTCTCTAATATTAATATATAAATATATATATATTCTTTCTAAATTATATTTGAATAATAAAGCTAAAAATAACTAAAGAATATATTAATTAAATATACTTAATCACATTAATCAGTAACTCTTCTTGAATTGAATTTACAATCTTTACAATGTTACATAATTGCTTTTAATTTATTCATTTTTTCTAGAGTTTGATCAATTTTTTGTTATTCAAGAGCAATTTATAATCTTCTATGTTAAAAACATATAAATTTAATAAATTACTTTTGATAATACTAAAATATCTGGATATCTTCGTATTGGTGATGTAAAATGTGAATATACATCAAAATCTAAGGCATAATGTCTCCCTTCTAATTCTGGAATATCATCAACTACAAAATATTGAGCAGCTTCCATTAATTTTAATAGACGGAATTCTAAAATCAATTTAATTTCTTCAGATTAAATATCATTAACTTTAGCCATAGTTAATTTCAAACTTTTACAGCTAAATAATATATTAATATATATCATTTTTAATGTAGATGTTGATACATCTAAATTTTCAGCCATTTCTTTTAATCCAAAAGCTTTTAATAGATTTCTATAATATTCTATTTTTTCAGCTTTAGGTGGTTTATGTTATCTAAGAATAGCTGTTTTAGTATCATATTCAATTAACTTCTTATCAACAAATTAATTAGCCAACAACATCCACTCTTCTACCATAAATTAAGCAAGTCCTCTCTTTTCTTCTACATAACCTATCGGATATAAATCAGAATTAAGAATGAATCTTTATTTGCTTTTTTGTAATGTTATTGATCCTTCTAATCTTTTTGTTCTTTTCTTTTATGCAATAGTATTTAACAATAAAATCTTATCTTTCAATACATTTTCATCAAATCCTTAGCAACTTTATATTTTTAATCCCCTTAACTAAACTATTATATTTCACCTTCAATTATTTAATTAACAATTTCATAACTTAATTATGCACAACTCTTTATAACTGACGTAGCACCTGTAAAACTATCCCATAATACTTCTCCTTCACTTTTCAATCTAAAGAATACAAAAAATGCTAATCTTTCAACATCTTTATTTAATGAACACAATTCTTCACAAAGAATTCTAGGTAACATTGGTATAACTTTATGAACTAAATAAACAGAAGTAGTTCTAAGTATCGCTTCATTATCTACTTCACTATTAGGAATGACAAATGAGAAACATCTTCAATATGTACTCCAATCTCATAAATACCATTCCCTAAATCATTAATACTTAATGCATCATCTAAATCTTTGGCAGTCNTAAAGCTAAAAATAACTAAAGAATATATTAATTAAATATACTTAATCACATTAATCAGTAACTCTTCTTGAATTGAATTTACAATCTTTACAATGTTACATAATTGCTTTTAATTTATTCATTTTTTCTAGAGTTTGATCAATTTTTTGTTATTCAAGAGCAATTTATAATCTTCTATGTTAAAAACATATAAATTTAATAAATTACTTTTGATAATACTAAAATATCTGGATATCTTCGTATTGGTGATGTAAAATGTGAATATACATCAAAATCTAAGGCATAATGTCTCCCTTCTAATTCTGGAATATCATCAACTACAAAATATTGAGCAGCTTCCATTAATTTTAATAGACGGAATTCTAAAATCAATTTAATTTCTTCAGATTAAATATCATTAACTTTAGCCATAGTTAATTTCAAACTTTTACAGCTAAATAATATATTAATATATATCATTTTTAATGTAGATGTTGATACATCTAAATTTTCAGCCATTTCTTTTAATCCAAAAGCTTTTAATAGATTTCTATAATATTCTATTTTTTCAGCTTTAGGTGGTTTATGTTATCTAAGAATAGCTGTTTTAGTATCATATTCAATTAACTTCTTATCAACAAATTAATTAGCCAACAACATCCACTCTTCTACCATAAATTAAGCAAGTCCTCTCTTTTCTTCTACATAACCTATCGGATATAAATCAGAATTAAGAATGAATCTTTATTTGCTTTTTTGTAATGTTATTGATCCTTCTAATCTTTTTGTTCTTTTCTTTTATGCAATAGTATTTAACAATAAAATCTTATCTTTCAATACATTTTCATCAAATCCTTAGCAACTTTATATTTTTAATCCCCTTAACTAAACTATTATATTTCACCTTCAATTATTTAATTAACAATTTCATAACTTAATTATGCACAACTCTTTATAACTGACGTAGCACCTGTAAAACTATCCCATAATACTTCTCCTTCACTTTTCAATCTAAAGAATACAAAAAATGCTAATCTTTCAACATCTTTATTTAATGAACACAATTCTTCACAAAGAATTCTAGGTAACATTGGTATAACTTTATGAACTAAATAAACAGAAGTAGTTCTAAGTATCGCTTCATTATCTACTTCACTATTAGGAATGACAAATGAGAAACATCTTCAATATGTACTCCAATCTCATAAATACCATTCCCTAAATCATTAATACTTAATGCATCATCTAAATCTTTGGCAGTCACAGGATCCATACCACAAATATATTCTTTTGTTAAATCAATTCTCTTTATTCTCTCCTTTGTTATTGAATCATGATAAAATGCCTTCATTTCATCCATACAAATCTCTGAAAATTCATTTTCATAAACAGAATTCTATGTTAATATTGCCTCACATTCAACATCAATATTTCCTTGTACTCCTATTTCTTTTATCAATTCAGCCATTGGATATTGGCTTTTTATGCCCCATTATACATATTTTGCTGAACTCTTATTTAATATCCTTCTTAATCTTAGTATTCTTCATTATAATTTATTCAGTTATATCTTCTTCCAGATCATCATCAGATTCTTCTTCAGTTTTTTATATTTTAATAATTTTGAATGCAACAAGAGCTCCATGAAATGCTCTATTTGATTCAACAAATGCTATTATTTAGAAAAATTAAATTACAATTAATATGTACTTTCTATTTAAAAATTGGACATTTTATAACACTCTTCTCTCTAGTATATTCACTAGCTGTAAAGATTCCTTCAAAAATCTCATTTTCAGCTTTTCCCTCTTAAATTTATTTTTCAGTCCAATTTTTTTCAAAATCTTATTTCCTATTTTAATTATTATTCTTAAATTTTCCTCTATTCATATTTTTTATATCATCATTTTCATATATGCCATATTAACTAAGTCCTTATTGTTCTTTTTCTTTAAATTTCCCTAATCATTTTTATACTAATAATCATTAACAAAATTATCATTATTCATCCCTTTATTATTGAATTTTTGTTTCTATTTGTATGAATTTTAATTTATGTGGGTTTTTATTTTTTTATCTTTTTTCGATTTCTAATTAGTAGGATATTCTATTTATTAGTTATTATTATTTTTTTCTTTTCCTATTAATTATTATTATCATCATTTGTTTCCTAAAAATTATTTTATTACCCTTTAAAATAAGGATAACAGAATGGCTATTTATAATCATTAGGTTGTTGTGAATTTTGAAATTCTTAATTAGAAACTAATTACTAATTTGATTATCCTTCTTGATTTTAATATTACATTGTATCACCTTTTCTTTCTTAGACTTTGTTACCTTTTTTATTATTGTCTTTAATTTAAACCTAATCTCTTTACTCATGTTATATTTTTTGTATTATTTTTATTTTTTATTTTTTTGCTATTATTTTTGTTAATCATTATCCTATTATTTCTTGTTTTTATTTGTGATCTTCTTGTTTATCCAAATTTATATGTTTTTATTTTTCATTTTTAGGAATGTATTTTATATTTGATTATTTATCTTAACCACTTCTTAAATTATCTTTCTATATAAAATTATAAAATAAATACTTCAATTTCTCCCTTAATCTCTTTCATCTCTTTTTTGTCAATAATGCCTTCCTAATTCATTAGAATGTTTTAATTAAATAATTATAATATCAATCTCTACCTATTTGTAATTAAATTAAAATAAATATTAATAATTTTTATTTTATTAAGCAGAAATTTTGTACATTTAAATTTAATTTAAGTATTCAAAGTTCTCATATACTTTTTCTACTTAATATTCCTTAAACATCATACAAAATAGATTAAGAATCTTAATTTTTGTATTTTTAATTCAAAGTAAATCATCGGAACTAATGATTTATTAATTATACAATGATTAGCTTAATAAATTTAGTATTATTTTTATTATTTAATCAGCATTTATACATATATAGATTTTGTATATCTTATTAATATTTATAATATGAAGAAAAATCATACAAAATCTACAGAATATAATGAACAAAAATAAATAGCCAAGGATTAATTGATTTAAAGACTATAGGAAAATTATAAATCCTCAAAATAACCATAAGATATCATCATGAAAATGTTAAATGAGTAGGACATAGAAAACCTTGAAAAAATGATTAAAAAACTTGGAATATGGCCTTGCAGAATAGATTGTAAATTTAAATTATGATTTTAGAATAATTTATTGAAGATCTTCTATAATAACCTGATATATCATTTGAAATATTTGTTTATATGATTCTAATCTCTGATGGGTATTTCTGTCCATTCTCTCCAATAACTACATCAAATTTGATTACTAATTTTCATTGTGGATTATTATAACACTATTTTTGTTGTATAACCCCAGAAAACTATCATTTCTACTTCGAAATTGGTTTAGAGAAGAAATCAATAATCAAAAAAAACGAAGTAAGTTTTACTGTATATTTTAGTTTTTGGGTTTTCAAACAATTCATAGAATTCATTTCTTAGCAATAAGATTTGATAGAAGAATTGAGAATGTGTTATTAAGACTCTTTAATTATAATTAAACTGAGAAATTAAATTCTTATAGGTAGAATTTTGGATAATTAAATTTCGATTCTAGTAAATTAATTAATTAATAAATAGCTACTTCGATTTAAAGAAAATAAAAATACTTTTGTTTGGAGAAACCATTATTTTATTGGAATGAAGTCGAAGAATGGGGAGAATGCTAATTCAATTTTGGATTAAAAGATTAATAATGTATGAGATGGATACCAACAGGAATTTAAACTAAATAATTAGATGAAAAGTAATTGAAATAATATTATTATGATTAAAATTTGAGTTAATGGGTGAAAAATGAAGATATTGAATTTTTAAAGAAGTATAAATAGAATAGAGATTTATCAAAATAAAATAAACATATTTTACATTAATATGCAGACTTTGAATCAGGAGCATTGATAATTGATATTATGTAAAAATTACCTGATTTTAAAATTCTAATTACTTAATAAGAAAGAAAGGTTATAGCATCAAAATAAAATTCATTAATTATTGGTAGAAGTGGAACAGGAAAAACAACTTGTACAGTTCTTAGATTATTTGCAATATAGACTCTATTCAAAATTAGATAAAAATTATTTAATTAAGAAAATGAAAAGCTTTTATTTAATTATTAAGATATACCAAATAAAGTTGGTTTACATTGTGTATTTACAACTTAGAATCATGTATTAATAGGAGAAGTTAGAAAATATTATAGAAAATTGTTATAACATATATAAGATTCTATAAAAAGGAATTAAGAGAAATAATAGAATTAACAATAAAATATTCCATTAAGTTTAGATTAAAGTTTGTAAGCATAATTATTTATTTTATTAGTATATCTCAATCATTTTAGATTTGTGATGAAATAAATGAAAGTTCTATAAGTATGATATTATAAGAAGAATCTTTTATATGCACAGAATGTGAAGATGATAAAGAAGAAATGGAAGAAGATGATTAATTAGAAGATGTTGATTTACTTGGTTCATTAGAATAAATGTCAGATGATAAATTTCCAGCTTTTTTAAGTCTAAAAAAATTAATTTTGTTAATTGATTCATCATTGAAAAAACCATTTTTTGAATAAGAAAGATTTAAAAAAAATGGTAAAAGATTATAAAAAGCTGGTTGGAATACTGGAAAAACAATTAAAATAACTTAAAAACTTAAAACAAATAAAAATATTAATGTTATTGATATAGATGAAAATGCTAAATTTGAAGAATAAGAATTTAAAATGCTAAATTAATAAGAAGTTAAAGAGAAAATAGATGAAACTAAATTATTAATATAAAAATAAGAAGAGAAAGCCTAATAAAATTAAAAATAAAATTAATAAGAATCTAATATATAAGTAACAGAAGTTGATTATGAATATTTCTTAAAAAGATTTTGGCCAACAATTAAAAAACCAAATTAAAAATATGGTTGTGATGAAAGATCATTTCCAACATTAATATGGACATAAGTTTATTCTTATATAAAAGGATCTTAATTTTCTTATTCTTATCCTATGAAATATTTACCTAAAGCTATTTATGCGGAATTAAATCCATCAAATCTATCTTAAGATATAATTAATCTTATATATGATTACTTTTTGGAATATGAAAAATGGAAATTATCATGTGGAATATTTGATTTAATGGATTTAGTCAATTATATTATATGTGAATTAGATAAGGGAGATTATAAAACTGTTCCTATCCATTATTTATTTGTAGATGAAGTTTAAGATTTACCACATGCAGTAATAACTTTATTTACAAGATTAATTGAATAAGGTTATTATTTTTGTGGAGATACTGCATAAAATATAGTTAAAGGAGTAGGTTTTAGATTTTAAGATCTTAAAAATATGTTTAAACATGTAGAAAATCCACTACTTTTAGAATTGGAATAGTTTTAATTGACTATTAATTTTAGATCTCATAATAATATTCTATAATTGGCAAATAGTATTGTTAATTTAATTGAATTATTTTTTCCAAAAGCAATTGATAGATTAAATAAAGAGATCTCTGATTTAAAAGGACCTATGCCAATGTTAATTTAAAGTAATAATATTGATGATCTATTTAATTTTTTAACAGGAGATGTTAATCCTAATTTAGATAAATAAGCAGTTCCAATTGAATTTGGTTGTAATTAAGTAGTTTTGGTTAAAGATTCAGATGCTAGAGATAATATTCCTTCTGTTTTAGCTCATGCTTTAATTTTAACAATATATGAATCAAAGGGTCTTGAATTTGAAGATGTCATTTTATTTAATTTCTTTACTGATAATACTATCCTATAATCTTAATGGGATCTATTTAATTAATTATTTATTGATGAAGTAGAGGTTGACAGAGATGAATATAATTATAAATTAACAAGTAAATATTAATATTTTATTTAGGACATGAATAATAAAATAGTAGTATTGAAGATATTTAAGATAATAATGCATCATTTAGTACTTAAAATGAATAAGGAAATATTTTAGTTAAGAAATTAAGATTAAAACCTAGTATTAAATCATTTGATCTAAATAATTATAATGCTTTATGTAATGAATTAAAGTATTTATATGTGGCTGCAACAAGAGCAAAAAATAGATTAATTATATTTGATGAATAACCAGATAAAAGATCTAAAATTTAAGATTTATGGTAATCTTTAAATTTAATATAAATATTGGATGAATCATATTTTTAAAATGCAAAAGAAATGAATAAAATTATAACTCAAAATACAAAAGAAGAATGGTATGCAACTGGAATGAAAATGTTTGCTAATAAATATTATGATTAAGCAATCAAATGTTTTGATATGTCTGGACACTAATTATTATATACTAAATCATAAGCATATGCCTTTGCATTTAAAGCTGAAAAATAATTATTATAAAGTGAAAACTTTGTTGAATTAAGTGAAGATACTCATTTACCTTAAAATTTAAGAAGATAATATAAAGATAAATATGAAAAATCTAAATCAGAAATGTTTAATAATTTTAATAAAGCAGCTGAAAAATTCTTAGAATGTAATATGAAAAAAAATGCAGCAGCATGTTTCTTTTCAGCATAATAATATGAATAATCATTAATTTATTATCTATAAACTAAATGTTGGGAAGAAGCAGCTGAAGTAGCATTTAAATTAAAGTATTATCATATTGCTGGAATATTATGGTTAAAGACTTATAAAATTGATTAAAGTATTGAAGCATTCAATTAATTTTAAAATAATCTAATTACTTTACATTTACTTTATGAATTCAAATATGAATTAAGTGATGATAATAAGAATCTATGGTAAATTTTATTACCTTAAGTGTTGTAAGAGTGTTGGTTACAATATTTTAAGTCAAAAGATGCAGTCTTTATTGAAAAAAAAAATTATTCTGGGAAAAAATTAGATTTTTCTATTTTGGAAAAGCATACAGATTTTTAATATGATTTTAATTCTGAATTGATTATTATTTAAGCATCAACTTAAGATGTAAATACAAAAGAAAAGATGTATTAGACACTTTTTAATTATTTATATAATTTTTTAGATGAAATACTAATAGTTCTATCAAAAGTGTTTATTAACTATCCAATCTAAGTAATGAAAGAAAGTATGTTGAAAAAATCAGATGAATTTAAATAAAATTAAATAGCATTTATCCAAAATGTACTAGAATATTTTGATATTCAAGATTTATAACTCTTTATGCTTGAAACAACAAAATCTAGTGATAGAGATAATTATTTTATTTCCTGTCTTTATTATATTTCACCTTTATATTAGCCATGCTTTTCATTAAATTTTTAATTCTCAAATTATTAAAAATTTTGTAAAGCAGATTTCAAAAAAAATGAAAACAATCATAAGTCTACACTTGAAAAATCAGAATAAAAACTTAGTACCTTTACATTTTCTTCGAATAAATTATTGATGAGTTATTCTTTATGTTAATTAGGATTATATGAAACCGCTATTAAATCTTATTAAAAACATATTGCTATATTATAATCAACTGAAGAATTATCATTGACATCAAGCAAAATCAAAATTTATATGCAGAATATGAGATCTATATTCGAACTTTTTTAACAATATTAATCATTACTATAAACCTATAATATTGAATAAACTATGGATTTTAGGTTTGAAAAATAAAAATAAGACAGGAAATTAATTTAAGTAATACTAGGATATTATTATTCAAATAATTAGGATCTTTATAAACTTAAAAGTTTGAAATATGATTACCTTACTACATATATTGACAAATTAGAAGAAGTTATAATTATAAATAAAAGTTTTGATAGAAATTGTAAATATTTATTTAGAAACTCTAATTATTAAATTCATAAGACGATTATTTTGTCTATTGTTGCTTATTAGGATGAAAAAATTATGCAATCCCTCTATGATTTAAATTATTTGGACTTTTAATTATTTTTGATTGAACTTTAAAAAGTAGTAGATCTATTTAAATATAATCGAAATACAGTATTTTATAATGAAACATTTAAGAGTATTTGTGCTATTTATTAATTATCAGTAGCAACATCATAAGATTTCTAATTCTTAGGATAATCATACATTATTGTTAATAAATCATCTTTAATTTTTGAAACTTTAGCTAATAATTATAAATAATAATAATTTTAGGCTTTTTAATTTGATATAAAAGGAGATTTTTTTTTATTTTCCTCATACTTTGTTGTAAAGACTATATAACGAATTTATAAAGAATTTCTTAAGACATATGTACATAGATATTGTATGAAAAAAACTGCATCTAACAATAATGTTCCATTTTTAATTTAAATTTATTCTTTTTGTGCTATCAAAACATTAAAAAAAGAAAATAAAATAATGAATAAATATTTAGACTAAACTCTTGCTGATTGGAATCTATTAAATTGTTTAGAATATTAATTATCAGATTAAATATTTAATATTTGGTATCAAATACCTAAAATTGAAAATCCATTAAATAGATAAATGTATGAAAATTTAACAAATAAGTCTTTCGCAAAAGTTTTAACTGATCAAACAAAGGAAGAATTACACATTCATTTATTGACTGGTATACATGCATTAAATATTGCTTATTATTATAACGTTTCATTAGAATTCATTTAGAATCTAATTAAAGCTAGAAAAAGATTAGAATATTTAAATAGAATAAAACATAATGAAATTGCTGATTAAAATCCATTTCTAACTTAAAATTAATTATAAGGTTATCAGAATTATATTGAATATTTGTTACGCAGTTAAATATGTATGTCAATGAAAAATATAAGTTAATACATCGAATATCATACTTTATTATCCTCCATAAGTTTTTCAGAATAAATATATAGAGATTTAACTTTCTGCACTTTAATTTACATTATATGTAAAAGATCTCATTATTAATATACTAATAAGTTAGCAGAATTAGAGAAAGATGCAAAAGAGGCCAAAGAATTTGAAGATTCATTATAATTGGAATAATAAATAATTAATGAAATTATTGAGTTAAAAAGTTTTAGAGATTTTAAGTAATAAAAAATGAATTTAATATTACCCAAAAAGGCTATCACATTCTTATAAACACTTAGTTGTTAAAAGGTTTAAATAGATGAATAATTTGATGATTCATAAATTCAAAAATTTATATAGATATTAATTGAATTATTTAAAACTGGAGATGAGTAACCTTTATTTTTGCTGGCTGCTATAATAATCAATGTGGAAACTATCAATATAGAAATTTAAATGGCTTTGGAGGCTGAATTAATATAGTAAATTTCATAAAAGCGCAGAAAAATGATTGAGAATATATTAGAAATAGCTGATGAAGAATTTGAAAGGAGACATGATTTAGTTTTAAAGATGATCGATAAAGGATAAAGTGTTTTTACAAAGTTTACTGAATTAGAAATAAATTATTCCAATATTTCAATGAAAACATTTAATAATTTTTAAGAAGATGCGCTAAAAGATAAATTAACAACTGAATATATTAATGAAAATATCAATTATCAACTAGATAATTAAGAGAGAAAAAAGTTTAAAAGCTTATATGTAGGAATGAGATTTACTACTTATTAACCTTTAGTAAAAGAAGATATATTTTTTAATGACTCGTTGTTAAGAATAGGAGGATCATCAGAAATTTATGATCAAGTCAATATTTTAAGAAGGTATTGAATTATATAATTCTAGCAAATTAATTGAAATTTTATACACAAAATAATTATAAAAACCTGTCAATTTTAATTCAATAAGGGAATAGTTGAAAAGACTTTCTCAACTAGAAGGAGAATTAGACGATGAATTTGTTGAAAACTCTAAGTAGGGAGGATACGGAAGAATTTAAAAAAGATAATTTGAATATGAACTTGAAGAATTTGATGAACAAATTGAGACATGGATTCAAGAGAATAGTTAATTATCAAATAAATTTCAAAATATTGAAAATTAAATCAACAAAAATGTACAAAAAAAAACTATTGCAATGTGTTTAATTTAAAAAAAATCTAATTAAAGATGGTGAAATATTATATATAGAAATTATTAGCAATATTTTTTATATTTAAATTATTTAAGATTAAAGCTAACAACTTGTATATTATAGTATATCATTGATGATGTCTATTTTTCTTAATTGATGGACATTTGTCTGGCTATCCAATCTTAACCATTCTTATATTTGATAATTAGATAAGATATGATCCATCTAATTAAGGATCAAATGAATAAAGATTAAACTCAGCTGTTGTTGGAATATAATTTTATTTAGTAAATTCTAATCTCATTTCATTTTAAATTTAACTATTTAATATATATATATAAATAAATACCTTTTCAGAATTTAATGTTTAATTACAAAGAGACCATCTTTGTCACTCTTTGATTCAATTTTAAGATCTGCATAAGAAATTCCATTCCATTATTTAAGTTTTATATTAACCCCTTCTAATCCTTTCCATTCTAATTTTGAGTTACAATCAAATTCAGCAATTACAGCACCATTAATAATAGAATATTGATAATATTTAGTAAGTTATGCTTTGAATTGTTCTGTCACCTGAGCTTAATTTGTTATCTTCATAACATCACTATTTGGATTTATTTTGAATCTACTATTTGTTTATTAAAATTTAGCAGTTTCATGTGAAATAAGTAAACAATCAACATTAGAATTAGCATTCATTAGCATCTTCCATTTGAATTAATATGATCCAGTAGAATCTGTATTTGTTTTAAGATCAATAGGTACTTTATTTTCACCAAAAGCATCACATTATAAACTCACTGGAACATTAGATGGAAATATTCCACCCTCAGATGTTATTTTACCATCAATTTCACATTAAACAAAATCATCATAATATTATTTTGGAAAAGTCATTTCGGATTTCTCATTATTTGTTTAAAAGGCTTATGTAACTTTATGATTTTATCCACTAGCATCATTAAAAGATTCAGTCAATTGATATTTAGTTTCAAATTGTAATTAATCATCTAATATAGACCATTTACCATCTGATCCCGTTTTAGCTTCAAATTCTTTAGTAACAGGATCTGAAGTTAATTTAACATTCACACCTGATTAACCTTTACCTTTAGGTCCAATAATCTCTCCCCCCACAGTTAATTTTGTGTTAGTAGGTGCTAATTCATATTTAATTTTCACTGGAGGTAAGGATATTGCTGGACCAGAACATGAGAATTAAATCTTATCAGATTTTACATCTCTATATTTATCAGCTTTAACATCTAATATAAAAGATTCATCCACATTCTTATAACAAGGGACCTATAAACTAAATTTTCCAGCAGAATCAGTCTTTCCTGTTATTTAAGTTTTTTCATTTCCTTTAACAGTAGGCTATAAGGATTCAATTGTCAATGTAGAAGCAGGAGGTGTTTTACCTGATGGATCTGTAATTGTTGAAGTAAGAGTTGCTTAAAGAATGATTCTATCCATTGTTGCATCATGAGATATACTCTATACTTTATCAGCTTTAATCTGAATATTTGATGATTTATATGGATTAAAGTCTGAATTAGTTATTGAAATAACAGCTGTGTAAATTTAATCTTAGACAGCACCAAAACTTAATGAATATTTACCATTTAAATCTGATTTTGTTTACAAATTTGATGCTAAAGGATCAGCAGGATTTAGTATTATTTCTATTTGAGCATTTTATACATTTTTTGTTACTCCACTACTATCTGTCAACACACCAGAAATTGTTATTTAAACAGATTTTGTAGATACTACTATTGGTTTGAGTTTAAGATCTTTTTCTCCACAAGTAAATACTTAAGGAGATAAGGCAGTTTTAGGATATACATCAGATTCCATATCCATTTTTAAAGTAGTGGATACTGAATTATAACATTAAAATGGTAATTAGAAATCCCCTTTTGGAGCAGCTACAAATTTATTATATAATTAAGTATTTGTCATTTGAGGGTCTGAGCTTAAAATTTCAATTTTAGAATTAGAAATTGGTTTTTAATTCATATCAACTAATTATCCACTAATATTACAATCTATAATAGATCTTATTAAAGTAATATCCTTTGAAATGCTTTATTTATCTTCTTTACCTATTAATTATAATTTTTCATTCAAAATATTAAATTATGGTTATGCATCTATATTGAGTGTAGCTTCATAATTTACTCCTCTTACAACTTCAAAAATTATAGAATATGTTCCATCATTAACACTTTTACTAATAATAGGTTAATTAGATATTGGATCTGATGGTTTTAATGTTAATGTAATTTTTAAACCAGGTAATTTGTCTTCCAATTTTTAGTTATCAATTAATTTACCTGTTATTGTAAATGTAGTAGTAACCAATTTAGATTTTATTGAAACTCCTTAAACTTAAAATTTTGGAGCTACTAATTCTACTTTTTATGTAGTTTCTTATAGAGAATCTTTAGTTTTTAGAATACATTCTATTTTATCATCATGTTTAGCCAAAATTTATATAGGAATATCAAAATTTCCATTATTATCAGTTGAGAAATCTTGATTTATATCAGCTCCCTTAGAATCTTTAAATTTGGGACAACTCAAATTGATTTTAACTGGTGAATTCAATGTCCCTTTCTCTAAATCAATTTTTCCTTATATCTTAGCATTCACAATAGCTTAATAATTTATATCTGAAATTGGAACTTTTTAATTATCACTTTGAATTGTGAATTTTTATTCTATTTTTTACTTCTATTTATTAATATCTATATAAGTAATTATTGCTTTATATTCTGTATTAGGGTATATCTTAGGATCAGTTATAGTCCATGTTCCATCTGTTTATGTCTTAGTTTCTAAATTTGCACTTTCAGGATCTGTTATTATACTTAGAGCTAAATTAGGTATTCCATCTCCATGAGGATCAATTACTTTTCCTGAAAGTATAGCCTTAATTTATATCTTCTCCAAACTTAAAGATATTGGATTTAATTCAGTTAAAGCCTATGAACATTTAAATTTGGAACTCTTTATGTTTTATTATACATATTGAGGTACATCTATCTACAAATCAACAACATAATCAAATTCTTTATAACATTCAAAATCCAAAAAGAAGGATCCTTTATCATCATCTTTAATTGGTAAATTGTAATATTTAGAATCTTTCATAATTGGATCAGATGATGTCATTTTAACAGATGCATTTATTATTGGCTTTTTATCAGTGCCAATTAATGTAGAATGTAATTTTGTTAACATTCTAATCCTGTCTATTTCTATATTTTCAGTTAAAGTTTCAGACTTTTAACATTTTTCTTCAATTCCTTTCTTTTCATAAGGTGAAAATAATGGATCCTTTTTAGCTTATATCTCAAATTTCAATGGATATGCTTATATAGCTTTGAATTTAAATTCATATGATCCATCTTTTCCTGATTTTGTTTACAATATTGATTGAGAAGAACTTTAAAAATGTCTTTTATATAAAATGTATGACTCAAGTATATGTTTACCTGGATTTTAAATGTAAACATCTTGAGGAGTGACAATTAAAGTAATATCAACACCTTCAACTGTTGTAATTGTTTTAGTTTTATCACTAACAACTCCTTTTACAATGATATCAACTGTATTATATGTAACAGGAATATTTGTATTGCTACTCCAAGTAGGAGCAGATACTTTAACATCAACTTTTATAGGTTGTACAGGTGAAGCTGTATTAGTACTGCCAGTTCCTGTATTACCTGTTCCAGAACCACCAGTTCCTGTACTACCTGTTCCAGAACCACCAGTTCCTGTATTACCTGTTCCAGAACCACCTGTTCCTGTACTACCTGTTCCAGAACCACCAGTTCCTGTACNAAATTTTGGAGCTACTAATTCTACTTTTTATGTAGTTTCTTATAGAGAATCTTTAGTTTTTAGAATACATTCTATTTTATCATCATGTTTAGCCAAAATTTATATAGGAATATCAAAATTTCCATTATTATCAGTTGAGAAATCTTGATTTATATCAGCTCCCTTAGAATCTTTAAATTTGGGACAACTCAAATTGATTTTAACTGGTGAATTCAATGTCCCTTTCTCTAAATCAATTTTTCCTTATATCTTAGCATTCACAATAGCTTAATAATTTATATCTGAAATTGGAACTTTTTAATTATCACTTTGAATTGTGAATTTTTATTCTATTTTTTACTTCTATTTATTAATATCTATATAAGTAATTATTGCTTTATATTCTGTATTAGGGTATATCTTAGGATCAGTTATAGTCCATGTTCCATCTGTTTATGTCTTAGTTTCTAAATTTGCACTTTCAGGATCTGTTATTATACTTAGAGCTAAATTAGGTATTCCATCTCCATGAGGATCAATTACTTTTCCTGAAAGTATAGCCTTAATTTATATCTTCTCCAAACTTAAAGATATTGGATTTAATTCAGTTAAAGCCTATGAACATTTAAATTTGGAACTCTTTATGTTTTATTATACATATTGAGGTACATCTATCTACAAATCAACAACATAATCAAATTCTTTATAACATTCAAAATCCAAAAAGAAGGATCCTTTATCATCATCTTTAATTGGTAAATTGTAATATTTAGAATCTTTCATAATTGGATCAGATGATGTCATTTTAACAGATGCATTTATTATTGGCTTTTTATCAGTGCCAATTAATGTAGAATGTAATTTTGTTAACATTCTAATCCTGTCTATTTCTATATTTTCAGTTAAAGTTTCAGACTTTTAACATTTTTCTTCAATTCCTTTCTTTTCATAAGGTGAAAATAATGGATCCTTTTTAGCTTATATCTCAAATTTCAATGGATATGCTTATATAGCTTTGAATTTAAATTCATATGATCCATCTTTTCCTGATTTTGTTTACAATATTGATTGAGAAGAACTTTAAAAATGTCTTTTATATAAAATGTATGACTCAAGTATATGTTTACCTGGATTTTAAATGTAAACATCTTGAGGAGTGACAATTAAAGTAATATCAACACCTTCAACTGTTGTAATTGTTTTAGTTTTATCACTAACAACTCCTTTTACAATGATATCAACTGTATTATATGTAACAGGAATATTTGTATTGCTACTCCAAGTAGGAGCAGATACTTTAACATCAACTTTTATAGGTTGTACAGGTGAAGCTGTATTAGTACTGCCAGTTCCTGTATTACCTGTTCCAGAACCACCAGTTCCTGTACTACCTGTTCCAGAACCACCAGTTCCTGTATTACCTGTTCCAGAACCACCTGTTCCTGTACTACCTGTTCCAGAACCACCAGTTCCTGTACTACCTGTTCCAGAACCACCAGTTCCTGTATTACCTGTTCCAGAACCTCCAGCTCCATTTCCAGTACTACCATTTGTAACTACGCAGGATAAGGGCTTATCAGCTCCTGCTAATACTTCAACATCTACTGAATATGATCCATCTTCTTTTGTAGTAGTTTCTATAACAATTGGTTTTCCATCTTTACCCTTTCCATCACAGGTAATTACTAATGGTAATGGAATAGCTGCTTTGCCATCTGAAGGTGTTATTTTACCAGCAATTTTAGCTTTAACATATTTTTAAAATCCTATAACTGGAAAGTTAAAAGTTTATTCCTTATCCATTGTAGGAGTGAATGTCTATACTAGTTATACTAATTATTTTATATCATTAGTGTATTCAATTGTAAATTTATAAGTTGTTGTAGGTATGACAGTTAATTTTTCAACCTACCAATTACCATTTGCATCAGTAACCAAATTAGGATTAGGGACATCTAATACTGGATCTGACTTAAATTTAAGAGCTACTCCTTTCATTGGTTTTTAATCAACATCTATTACTTATCCTTTGATTAATAGAATAGCTGTCTATTTTGATAATGTCATAGAATATTTCACTAAATCTTAATCTTTACATTCCAAATCTCCTGTTTTATAAGTTACAGGCACAAATTAAGGCACTTGAAATACAAATGTTGCTGAAAACTTTATATCTTCATAACAACTAAATGGATATTCAAATGAACCACTATATATTAGTTTAATTAAATTACTCTGCATTATCTGTTATTTCCTTATTATATAGAGTTTTATCAGGCATTGTTGGATTACTCTCAATAATTTTAACGATTGCATTTTAAATAGGTTTACCAGTTGGATCAACAAGCTTATCTTTTATTTTTATATTTTTTATTGTTCTATCCAAAACTACATCAAAAGTTATCTACAAAGGCTGTTTAGAAGAAACATTAATTTATCTTGGAGCAGCTATTTTATTCATAAATCCTTGAGCATTGACTGTTGCTTTTAATTATAAATCTTTATTAGCAGGTACATAGATTTCTGCCTTAAATTTGCCTTGTGCATCTGTAACAGCAGACACAGGTTCTATGCTATCTAAAATTGTAAATACAATTTTAGCTCCTTGTACAAACTATACCTATTTTGATGAATCAGTGATGATTCCGGAAATCTAAATATATCTATACTCATATTACTTATAAATCCCCTGAAGCTTCTTATAACTTTATAATCCCTAAATCATGAGTGAATTAATCTTTTCTAACATTTAGATTAAACACTTCATCAAATTCAGAACTCTGCCCAATATATTCATCCTTTGTAATTTGTTCCTTGACATGAATCTTATCAGTTGCTTTTAAAGGAATAATGAGATTTATCTTTCCATCTGTTCCACTTACTGCATTCAATGATTCTAATTCTTTATTTGATCCCAAGTTCATCCCTCCTATTTAAAATTTTGCTCCAGGTAATGGTTTAGATAATTAATCTTAAACTAATGCTGTTACGATATATTTGAATTAACCAGGATCCAAATTTATGATTATTGGTAGTTCATATTTTTTTACACTAAATTTATTATATCTATAATTATTACGGCCATAATGCAAATTCCTAAGCATCACGATTCAATTATTAAGAATTCCAATATTCATTTTTAGAAGCAGTATAAAGAATAATAAATGTAGGCTTTTAAGAGGGTAATAAAAACCTAACATTTTATTCGCCTTTTTCATCCGTTGTGGCTTTGAAATTTATTTCTTTTGTTTTTTTATCTTCTGAATAAATTGCGGTAAACATTACTGTTACCCCAGGAAGAGGCTTTGAGTTTGATTGTGTTTTTAACTGAAATTATATTTGATATTTACGATTATTAATCCTCTTTAAAACACATCTTAGACTTATACATCAGATTATGGGAATTATAATTTGCCATTAAAAACAATAGTGCCTTTTGAATCTCCAATCCCATCTATTTTACCTGATGTTGAAATGTCGTTAAAAGTAGTTGTTGCAATTGCCGTAATTTGGTAAGATGATTGTTTTGGGATTTTTCCTATAAATGTCACAATACCTGTTCCTTCAGTCATTTGATCCTTATCTCCAATAATTATATTAGAATTCCTATATTGATATAAAAATGTACTTAACATTAACAATCACTCCAGATAAAGCATAGCCTGAAAAATCAATTACTTTTATTATCACTTAGTAATTGACCTCTTCTAATTCTATTATTTGATTTCCGATATGCTTTGATAATGTAACCAGAGCGAAAAGGTGTACTAATAATAAAGATTTTAGCATATTTTGAATTTAACAATATAAATTAATTATAAATGTCCACTTCTGCGAACAAATCCAAAGCATTTGCTAAATTCAAAATTGTATTTATTGGCAATCAAGCTGTTGGTAAGACATCAATCATTGCTCGATTTGTATATGAGCAAATCCCTTCATCACATCAAGTATCAAACAAATTGTGATAATAGCCTACTATTGGAATCGACTTTCTTTCAAAATGCATTTAGGTAGACAATAAAACAGTAAGATTGTAATTATGGGATACTGCTGGCTAGGAACGTTTTAGATCGTTGATTCCATCTTATATAAGGGATTCTCATGCTGCTGTACTTTGTTATGATGTATCAAGTATTATTTAAATTTATGCTTTTAGATTACTAGACATTTGCAGATATAAAATCATGGCTTGAGTATGTAAGAGAAGAAAGAGGATCTGATGTATTGGGTGTACTCATTGCAAATAAAATTGATATTGAAGAAAGGTTAAGTATTGATTAATTTAAGAGTTGTAACAAAAGAAGAAGGTGAAAAATTTGCAAAAGAACAAGAATTACTCTATTATGAAGTATCAGCTAAGGAGGGAACCAACGTTTAATCAACTTTTAAGAATCTTGCCTTGAAACTCTTTGGTCCAATCTAAGATGTTGATTAGCCAACTACTTTAAGTTAATAAGATTCTAATTAAGTTCCTTAATCCACTATTGATGGCAAAATTTAATTAAACAAATAAAGCCAACAAAACCCTTAAACAGATTAATAGAAATGTCAATGTTGATAATAATTGAAAAATAACAATAATTTTCATAAATTATCGTCATTATTTTAAAAGACTGAATTAGCATACTTATAATAAATCAGATTAATTATAGTAACCTTCTATGACATTCAAACATTTCAATTTTCTTCAACTAATTACTTTCAGATTCAGCAATAAATGCATGACCACAAGTATCACCTCATATTTTTATTTTTTTTCAAAACCAATTTGGCATATCTCCTCTCAAAACTATTCTTTTTTTTATTCAAATTACTTTCCTATATCTAATTTTTTAAACTTAATTTACTCTGAATTTCGTTTTCTTTTATATTTTATCGCTGAATTCTAGCTGGTGAAGTTAGTTTGTGATTACTGTTTTGATCCTCAGACCAAAATAGGACCATTTACTTTTAAGCTTTATTTTGTTTCATAATTTACAAAATAAAGCTACATATTATTTACATAAGTAATTATTAATCAATTCTATTTCCCTTATGTTAATTTTTTTATTTCAACAATTTTAAACAAAAGAAATTATAGTTTATTAAGAATTTTCATCATCAAAAAAATATAACATTTGGAATATCAAAGTTCACTTCCAAAATATTCTAATAAGTATATTTGAAATATTTATAAAAATCATTTGCTATATTTTGTATTTTGAATCTCTTTATTAGAATACTTCTTAGTTTAAATCAATTTATTATGTATAATTAAAGTATTTTATATTGTTATTCTAAATATAAAATTTAGCTAAATTAAATACCTAATGAAGATTATAAAAAGTTTAAGGAATAGAAATGAAAATTAAAATCCATGACTTCTAGTTAAATTAAAAATTACTTTAAAAAATTGTAATTAGGACATTTATGGAGCTTTAGTAATTTAAATCTTCACTCTTTGGAATTTTATAATTAGTTAATGAATATGTTAAATAATAATCCTAAATTTTCTAGTCAAAATTTTACGAATTATGTATTTGATAAAATTATAAATATATTGTATAATATAAAATTTATTAAAAGTCCCCTAAAAAATACTACATATGACATCTAGAGAAAATTTTTTATAAAAATAATTAAAAAAAACAAATAATTTTTGGTAGTTAGAAAAAATCGAATATGCTCTGCAATAATGGTTAAAAATAAGTTAAGTGCTAATTTAATCTAAAATTTCAATCTTAAGAAATACAAGGATTGATGAAATAATAAGTCTATAATTATAAGGGTCTTTTGGAGTTAGAAGAAAGCCTTATAAAACTATTGTGAGAGCTTCTTGCTAATTTATATTATTCCTATTGATAAATGTATCNTAGCCTACTATTGGAATCGACTTTCTTTCAAAATGCATTTAGGTAGACAATAAAACAGTAAGATTGTAATTATGGGATACTGCTGGCTAGGAACGTTTTAGATCGTTGATTCCATCTTATATAAGGGATTCTCATGCTGCTGTACTTTGTTATGATGTATCAAGTATTATTTAAATTTATGCTTTTAGATTACTAGACATTTGCAGATATAAAATCATGGCTTGAGTATGTAAGAGAAGAAAGAGGATCTGATGTATTGGGTGTACTCATTGCAAATAAAATTGATATTGAAGAAAGGTTAAGTATTGATTAATTTAAGAGTTGTAACAAAAGAAGAAGGTGAAAAATTTGCAAAAGAACAAGAATTACTCTATTATGAAGTATCAGCTAAGGAGGGAACCAACGTTTAATCAACTTTTAAGAATCTTGCCTTGAAACTCTTTGGTCCAATCTAAGATGTTGATTAGCCAACTACTTTAAGTTAATAAGATTCTAATTAAGTTCCTTAATCCACTATTGATGGCAAAATTTAATTAAACAAATAAAGCCAACAAAACCCTTAAACAGATTAATAGAAATGTCAATGTTGATAATAATTGAAAAATAACAATAATTTTCATAAATTATCGTCATTATTTTAAAAGACTGAATTAGCATACTTATAATAAATCAGATTAATTATAGTAACCTTCTATGACATTCAAACATTTCAATTTTCTTCAACTAATTACTTTCAGATTCAGCAATAAATGCATGACCACAAGTATCACCTCATATTTTTATTTTTTTTCAAAACCAATTTGGCATATCTCCTCTCAAAACTATTCTTTTTTTTATTCAAATTACTTTCCTATATCTAATTTTTTAAACTTAATTTACTCTGAATTTCGTTTTCTTTTATATTTTATCGCTGAATTCTAGCTGGTGAAGTTAGTTTGTGATTACTGTTTTGATCCTCAGACCAAAATAGGACCATTTACTTTTAAGCTTTATTTTGTTTCATAATTTACAAAATAAAGCTACATATTATTTACATAAGTAATTATTAATCAATTCTATTTCCCTTATGTTAATTTTTTTATTTCAACAATTTTAAACAAAAGAAATTATAGTTTATTAAGAATTTTCATCATCAAAAAAATATAACATTTGGAATATCAAAGTTCACTTCCAAAATATTCTAATAAGTATATTTGAAATATTTATAAAAATCATTTGCTATATTTTGTATTTTGAATCTCTTTATTAGAATACTTCTTAGTTTAAATCAATTTATTATGTATAATTAAAGTATTTTATATTGTTATTCTAAATATAAAATTTAGCTAAATTAAATACCTAATGAAGATTATAAAAAGTTTAAGGAATAGAAATGAAAATTAAAATCCATGACTTCTAGTTAAATTAAAAATTACTTTAAAAAATTGTAATTAGGACATTTATGGAGCTTTAGTAATTTAAATCTTCACTCTTTGGAATTTTATAATTAGTTAATGAATATGTTAAATAATAATCCTAAATTTTCTAGTCAAAATTTTACGAATTATGTATTTGATAAAATTATAAATATATTGTATAATATAAAATTTATTAAAAGTCCCCTAAAAAATACTACATATGACATCTAGAGAAAATTTTTTATAAAAATAATTAAAAAAAACAAATAATTTTTGGTAGTTAGAAAAAATCGAATATGCTCTGCAATAATGGTTAAAAATAAGTTAAGTGCTAATTTAATCTAAAATTTCAATCTTAAGAAATACAAGGATTGATGAAATAATAAGTCTATAATTATAAGGGTCTTTTGGAGTTAGAAGAAAGCCTTATAAAACTATTGTGAGAGCTTCTTGCTAATTTATATTATTCCTATTGATAAATGTATCCTTAATTACAAATTAAATAAATAAATATTAATCATTAATACTAAATTTTATAATGTAATATTTATAATAGTAACAACATTATAAATAAAATTTATAAGAATTAATTAAGATATTAAATAAATATTAATTTTATCTTCATTATAATTAACAACATATTAGATTAATTACGATAAACTTAAATTTTTAAACATCTTAAATACCCTTAAAATATTTTTAAATCATGTTTTTGACTAATGTTTTTATATTGATTTCAAAATAAATAAAATTTAATAAATCCAATTGTGTAATTAATTAATGACGATTATTCATTTTGAAATTTAATTATAATTGGAATTCAAAATAAAATATAAATGAGTCAATATTGTATACATATTTTGAGTGTAATCTTATAAATTTTTATTATTAAAATTTATATTTTTTAATATCTTATTTATT